ACATTAATTAGATGAGACACACGCCTCATTCACGTGAGAAAGAAAAAATTTTCGCCCCATCTCTTCTCTCTTGTGTTCTCTTCTTCTTCTCCAGTAATGCCAGTAGAGATATCTCCGATTTCATCGCCCACCAAGATGATCGGAGAAGATATCCAATCATACAACAGAAGATCCAAGGTAGTCGAGCGATACATATATATATATATATATTCAACCCCGTAATGTTTCTGTAATTCGCGGGGTTGTCCGTTCTTCACATAATTCGAGAAAGGTGTCCAACGGATGTATCTAAATCGACCGACGACCATCCCATGACGACCGGCGACTTCCGGTAACCCTCCAGTCAAGTTCCGACGGCGATCGGCCAAGGTGGCCGAGCAGGCGAGCTCTGGCGAGCCGCAGCCCCGCTTAGGCGCTGGCCAGCAGCCCAACACACAGGCGACGCGCGCACAGCCTAGACAGAAGTCACCCCGCGTAGTCCACGCCAGCAAGTAGCCCAGTGATGGAGGAGGCCCACTGGCAGCGAAGCCCGTCAGCAAAGCGCTTCAGCACGCAGGCCGCATCCGGCCCGCGTCTCCTCTGAGCAACTGCTCGCGCGGAGCCCACGCGCCCGTTTCCAACCCGCACGCCTATCCGCCTCACTCCAGCCCACTCCCGCGCGGCCCAGCTGCATATGGATGGCCCACCAGCGCACGGACAACAGCCCAACGCGCGGCAGAGTGGCGTGCAGTGGCCCAGACGTGGCCAGACCCGACCCAGCTCGTGTCCAGCGGTTCAACTCGGTCCAGACCTGTTCAGCAAGGGTCCAACACCCAGTTCCAGTCCAAGTCGAGTCTCGGAAGGTTTGACCAAGTTAACAGAGGTCTGGGATGATCCAACGTGGACAGTGGTGATGGCGAGGCCAAGTCCGGCTGCCCAACGGACGTGAGACCCAGACGATCTCCAACAACGGAAATCAGAAACGTCTCAGAGTCTGCAAAATTAAAAACGGTACGCATTAAACCCTCGCTTCTAGTTCCGCTGCGCATAGGGTTTTGATTCGTAGATAGTCCGTTGCATTATGTCGATGATACTAACAGATCCCAACAAGTGGTATCAGAGCATTTAGTTTATTTCGATTTTGTGCAATGTTCGGACTTTAGAGGCTTATGTGAATTACGTGTGTAACGGGCGCAACCGTATTTGTGGAATATTATTGCATAACTTGGTTTTGCAGGATAATGTATTTCCACTGTTATGGCCTTAAATGTGTGTTTGTTTATGTTATTGCACGTTTTTAAAGACTCGGACATGTCGAAGAATTTTGAGTTGTGAATGTTTGTAATAATCATTCTCCTGGTGGGAACCAGATAGATTTTGGGTTGTGAATTTAGGGTTATGACTTGTGAATGGTTGTGAATTTTGGGTTGTTTCCATACACACACACGCCACATCACTGCCAACACACACAAAACACATGTAGGACACACACAGACACACGCACACACACACACACACACACAAGTGCACAACACATGCACATTGACCGCGCGTCGCGACGCAACAAATTTAAATTTATAAAAGTTTTCTTAACAAACCTCTATCCCACGAGGAGCATGAATTAAATTGTGATAATTCTCGTACTAATTGAATTTAAACTACGAAAGCAGTAAAAAGGGGGGAATTGATTTAATAAAAATTAAAAATAACAATAACTAAATAAAATAAAAATCAAATAAAATAAGAGAAGTCCAGTTTTCGGTTCAGTTATCACCCAATCTACATCTACCGTTAATTAATTTCGACGTCTCTTTAAATCGCTAATGAATTACCAACCCTAACTAACAACAAGCTCTGTTAACCGAATTTTCCCTTACCGAATATTTAATCGAAATAGGTTCTTCGACTAAACCTAATTAGTGGACAACCTAGAATAAACTCTCTAGATTTAATACACTAGCAACATTACTTCCTAGGAAAATATATCAGTCTAAGCAATGGACGCAAAAGTTCGGACCATTTAACTTATGTTCATGCTACCCTAGAGATGCACGACCCCTAGTTTACTACTAATGAAACGAGAACAATAACAATTACGGATTAAAGTCCCGTCTCTAGCAATTAAACTATGAATATTCAACGTAGCTGGCCAAACTAAATCAAACATCATAATTCATGAACATTATACACAGATAACATGAATCAACTCATCAACAAAATAAATACGACGTCTAGATTAATCAACAATAAATAAAGATCATCTAATTCATAGACAAATTGAAATTAGGTTCAAACATCGCCTTAAACTGGATAAAAAATAATAAAGTCTCCTCGTGTGCGAGTGCAATTTCCCTCCACGTGTATTATCCTTTCTCTCGGCGTGCGTCTTTGGCTCTCTGTCTGCGTCTTTTTCTTTTCTCTTGCGGCTTTTTTTTCTTTTCTTCGGCACTCTCCCGCAAATAAATGCCGTCAATATATTATGTTATGTGAGTCCCTCACAAATAAGTCCTAAAGACTCACGTCTCTTTTTCCTTTGGCTTGCAAAAAATTCTCCCCAGGTATGTGACTCATGCCTTTTTCAATAAATCCCTCAAGACTCAAAAATCCCTTAAGTAAGAAAACATATGCTGCCCATGGCCTGTGTGAGTGATCACCTCAAGTCCACTTGTAATTAATAATTCCGTACTTATCAAATAAATCCTCCAAGCAAAATCTCGCACCCCTCACTGTTCCAGTTAATCGCCCAAATAATGTCTTGACAAATTCCACCAGCCCCTCATGCCTTGGATTTAATTTTCTTAACAATTGGGCTGAAATTGGGCCGGTATGGAGTGCTCAATAACTGATAACGTGAACTTCTTTACAATACTTCACGTACACAAATTGCTTCAAAATACTGAAAATAACACATAAAACACCAAAGCAAATAAATCTATCCAAATAATAAATAGGTCAGAAAATATAAACGTGCGTATAAATTAAGCATATAAAAATATAATATTAAATATATAAAATACGCACATTTTTCAACCTAACACACACACACATACACACACAAATATACATGCATACTCTCTCACACACACACATGGTTGGTCTCAGCCGCACCGGCCGACATTCACGCCAGCAACTGAGAGAACTTCCACCGTCGACTGTCTCCATCCACCAGCACGACTATGAGCATCTCCACCGTCAACAGCCTCCCGCCGCCAACATACATGAGGCGTCGTTGCAGCTACACTGGACACAGCCGCGCTGCCGGACGTGAAGAAGCCCCGACCAGTTGCCGTCATCAGCCTCAACCACAAAGCTCCAATAAGTCGCAGCCATCTCTGACACACTCCAACAACAGGACGCCGCCGTCGGGAACCCACCATACGACATCGCGACACTCGCACAGGTCGGCGTCGATTTTACCCGCCCAGCTGGAATTTACCGATGGAGCTCAGGTCGCTGGCAGCAAAGCTCCACGATGATCAGAAATGTCGCTGAACCTATGGACGCTGGAAGTGGCGACCGAAGAGGCTGGGTCGGCGGGTGGGGTGGTAGAGGATGAAGATGGATTTGGAGATTAGGGCATTATATTGAGAATTGAATCATATGTAGGGGCCTTATTGCAAATTAATGAAGATTGAATATATTTCAATTTGGCACATGTGCTAAATGTGCAATTTACGAAAAATTTAATAAATGTGTAATAAATTTACAATTCAAATTGGGGAATTTGGTTTTCATTGAATTTAAAAAAAAAATAGATAGTGTTGAGGAACAATTTTAGAAATTTATTACATAACGAAATATGTAATTTATAGCAATATTCTCATAAATGCGTATTAATGATAAATAAAGTGTACAATGTTAAAAATTTAATATGTAAAATTTTAATATATAAAAATATTATAATCTATTAAAAAAATATTATAATAACGAATATACCTGTATAATAATAAATAATAAACTATTTCAATTAGTTAAGTTAATTCGATGTATATTTATATCTACTAGATATAGTTTTAAAAAACACATAATTTATATGTGATCATCTAAAGTAGTGCACTTTATATATCATCACTTTATATAATAGAATGTTGCACTTTATAAAACAAGTAAACAATACATTGCACTTTATCAACACACTCCACAATTAACATCAATACTTCCCACGAAAATACCACCAGAACATAAATATAAAAAACAGATATACATAATACTTTAACATTAATCACATCATTTATCCACACAAAACAGAAGCATGCTAGCATATTAAAATTACATCAATCCACTTTATACATCAAAATATTGCACTTTATAAAAAAAAAAGTTGCACTTTACAAAACAACACGATGCACTTTATCATGACTATCAGAGATCGAAACGGACCAAACTTAAAGTTTTTACAACCAAAAAATAATATAAAGTACTTCTATTCGATTTTAATTTGGTTTGGGATAACCGTACAGTTGGTTTAACTTTTCCAAAAATTCAACTCTATAAATTTAATTTTAACATTTCGGTCAGTCGGTTCAACCGAACCAACAAATGAAAAAATTATTGTGCACTCTGCAGCGCGTTGATATTTTTTTAATTTTTTTAGGTGTTTAATGTACATACAGACACACACTATTGTGCAAATTAATTATCATTTCGTTGTGCAATGCATTGAACAGTTGTGCAATGTGTTGAATGGTAATATGCAATACGGTGAACCGTAATGTGCAATTATTAAATTTTTTTAAGTATGAAGAATTTTTAGTGAATTGCATATTTAACCTAAAAACTGAATTGACCTAAATTGAAATAAACTAAAGTTTTCGAAATTACAATTAAGTCTTAGGACTTATTAAATTTTGGAAACATGCCCCTTCTTTGTAAATTGGTCTCCTCACCAAGCCATCTCCTCTGCTCGTCGTCGGGGACCTCGTTAATGCGTCTCACAGCCTTCTCCAAAGACTAACATCCTCGCGCGGATCTGGTTGCATATGTCCAGCGGTCATTTTTGTTTTTCTTTTCTTTTTTCGATGTCATCTACCCAAATTTTCGGCGTTCTCGACCACAACAGCATTTTTGCATACATGGCGGAGAGACGTGGTCACGTCGCCCTGCAGGAGATGCGACAACGAGAATATAGCTGTTTCGCAAAGAGTCCGTGAGACGAAGCAGCATCCGCTCTTGCTGGCATGAAGATTTAGGCAGATGCTGACGGCGGATGTTTATGGAAGCCCGTCATTCTTACGTGTGTCCAGCGGAGGCGACGGGTTGTGGCTGACAGGCGTGAAAATTAGGGCAGAGCTGACGGTGGAGGCTAACGTTGGAGGCTGACGGCTGAGGCGCGGCGGTTGGAGGCAAGCAGCGGGTGGTGGTTGTGTTGTGGCTACCGTGCGTGTGTGTTTTTTGAGTGTGTGTGGTGTGTGTGTTTTAGGTGTAGTGTGAGAGAGAGAGTTAGTGGCTTGGTGGTGGACCCCATGGGTGAACATGTAATGTCTGTGTTGCCCCTAGTTAATGGTCAAATAAGTACATTTGACCATAAAATGTATACTTATTTACGAAATTACCATTACATAATGGATTGGTGCATTTAAAATTTGACTTCATCATTACCATTAGTTTGACGTATCTAATGGTCGAGAATCATTCTTATTTCTTTCACTATTTCCCTTTCTCATATAATTCCTTCTCTATATATAGATATAAATATAGATATAGATAGATGTTTCAATATTTATGACAAAGTATATTATTGTTAAATTTTTAAGTTTAAAAATTTACATATAAATAAAGTACTTTTATTAATTTACGTGTATTTATTAAAATTGGATATGAGTTATAATCAGTTATGATCATTTGTGTTATTTCAATCCAATCAGCTAGCTCAAAATCGAACTCAACTTAACTTTCTTACTTTTTATAAATATAATTAAATAATATCGATCAACTATAATGACACATCACATCAACTTTAATTCATTATAAACATATGATTTTAACTATCTATCACTTCTAATAATATCTCTTCTATTTTACCTCACACCAATTTGAAAAATGCTACAAGTACATAATAAATGTATATAGATGTGTACATAATACTTATATGGAGTGAGATCTACTTGATTTTTTTTAGTAATGCTATATAGCCTATTGGGTTACAACAAGTGTAAATACATTATTTTTTAATTTTTTGATAATGTATTTACACTTAAGTTGTAACCCAAGTTGTCATCTAAGTAGGCAAAATAACATTACTTTTTTTATTTTTGGTCAGTTCCACTCAATGTGACGGCTATGTACACCCTATATATATATACAATATTAATCATTATATTTTAAATTTTATTTAATTTCAATTTAATGTATTTTATTCAAAACATTTCAATTTAACTAATTTAAGCCAAACGCAAACTGGTATTAGTGTGAAATAGGAAACGTTCAGCAGTTGCTTTTCCCCGAACGCAAACCCTACACAGTAACACAAGCACAAATCAAATTGCTACTAATGGAAGCAGAACGTGAGCGGAACTCAGCAGGAAAGGAAGCAATTCAACCTGAATCAGACAAGAAGCGGCGGAGGAGATCAGATGACGGAGATGGCGACATCGATAATGACGACCAGCTTTCGTGTGAAGGTGGCGACGACGATAACGATGATGGGCTTTTGTATGAAGGTGATTCCGACTCTGACACGGATGACGATTTCACTACGACGCATAAGGTTGTTGAAAGAGCTTCCTGGGAAACCGCAAACTCTCCCATGGCCAATGAAGAAGATGGTGAAAGGAACTGCCTCAATGTGAGTCGATGCCACAAAGACAGTCACAATGCAAAGTTCAGGGGATTACTCATTTTCGAACTGTACAAAGTCGTAGTCAAATTGAACGACAAAATCCGCAGCACCCCCTTGCTCAACAGCCGAATCTACGGTGAAATCGTGCGACCGGCATCGGAATATTGGGATTACAATCCGGTGCCCATACATTATTACAGTGCGAGCCACTTGAAAGCTGATACTATTGATCTTGACCCATATGCCCTTCTTCCCCTGTTTGGTGCTGAACCCAGACCTACAGTGTGTGAAGAAACTGGAGTATATATGTATTTTGCTTTCAAGATCAATGATGAGGATATACTAGTTGATGGTGAAGATAATCATCATGAGAACTGCGACGTATTTCCAGGTAATGGTGTATCTAAGTACTGCGATTTAAATGTTTCTGCTTCCAATAGAAGTGCCTTGGACAAGTATGGTCCCTGTATCCGGAGGTCTGTGGTTGGAGACCCCAGCACCAGTCCTATCCTAATGATGGCCTACAGTTCCAAGTATTGTGGAGCATGGGCTACTATTGATGTCAAGATGTTGAATGAAGGGGTTAAGTGTGTTTCTGGTTTGATTGCTGCCAGGCCTTGCATATTGTACTCGAGGATCCGTTTGCTATCACTTAAACGAAAGGATGAGGATAAAACAGTGATGATTCAGAGAAGTGAGGATGGTTTGGTGGGGAATGATGGAAGTATTAAGCTTACAAGGTCGTTGGTGGCTGTACCTTCAAATTCCTCACTCATTATTGGGGCCGTGTTGTATGACCGTCAACAAGGAGATGGTGAGAACCTTATTTGCAGTGGCAAGACCTTTTTCCCAGCTATTGAAATGGGGTGGGAAACCAAGATTATTTCCTATAATGGCGTCCCCACACTCGAAGTTACTGCGCGCTGGAAATGCACTGAAGCAGTCTAATGGACTTCATACCCCTTAACGGTTTTTCCCTTCATTGTTGGGTAGCTGAGTGATATAGATCTTGAAGTTGGAAGGAGTTATGTGGCTCATGACTTTTGTGTTTGGATTTGTTTACCATAATCTTATTGTTGGCATTTGTTTACGTTATTGTTAGTATTGTTATTGCTGCTTCTAAGTTAGGCTCAATTTTAATACTGATAACGGAAAGAATGCATGTTATTACAACCGCCTCGTTATGGACTGTTAATATCTGCCGAAGAGAAATAATCTTTGATGACTTTCTCTACCGATGACAAGAAATTAGGTACCTCCGACTCTTTGCTTTATGGGTCCAGTGGGCTCGGTTTTGTTCTTTCATCTCTAGTTAAGATGTGCTTTAGATGTATTACTGTAGAATTGGTTCACCTCCGCACTGTCGTTGAACCTTAACTTTCAATTATCAGTCTATGCCAATCATGACTTTCATTCATTTAAACTCCTTGTGAGTGGGGGGTGGCAGCAGATTTTCTAAAGTTAATATACACCTAAAAAGTTAACCACCTTGTGTTGATGCACTTTCTTATGGATTATCGTAATTGTATGCTATATTTCTCATGGCAGTCTAGTCATGTAGTGCCTGCATCTTTGCTGATGGACAATGACGCATAATCTCAGCTTTGTGTCTGTCTCCTTAACTGGAAATAAGAATGTTATTAAGTCTGTCTTTGCCTGTAATATTTCTTTTTTTTTACAGTCAGAGTGATGCTTGGACACTTTGTAGTATGAGCACTGAAGTAGGACTTTCACATAAAATATTATGGAATCACCTTCAAGTTCTGTTGTTCGACTTTTTTACCTCAAACATAAAATATATGTCCAATTCTCTAAATCATTTGTTTCAATTTATTGCTCTGGCAGATTCTATATACCTGAGGTCCTTCTCGCCCTCAAGTACTTACAAATGCTCGGCATAGTCTGCCGAGACCTCAAGCCCAAAAGCATCGTCATCCGTGAAGACGGGCACATCATACTCATGGATTTCAACTTTAAGCTCGCAGTATCGTTTCGTGCACGGCTGGTTCATTACTGGCCCGAGTTTAGTGTCGGGTTTTAGATCAATTATCGCAACAGTGTTGCAGCTTTTATGACCTAATTGAAGTACTGAGGTTGTCAGGGAAAACAATAGTGATGATAAAGTAAGTGCCCCAAGGGCATGCCGTGATATTTCTCTGATCACTGGGCATGAATCAAAGATTAGGTGATATTATGAGTACATGAATGCCTCAATAGAATATATATAGTTTGAAAAAGGTCGTTAAAAATTGGTGATGATTATGCCGAAAAACTTGGGAGGTCTAAATTTGTGATTAAGCTGCAAAAATTAATGCAATTTTGCCTAAGTTTCAGTTTTGCTGCTAAGGGCTTGACCTCTTTTAAAACACATTTAGTTAACAAGTTAAGGGGAGTTTGTATTGTTAAAATTTGAAAATAGGAATTTATATTTCATTTTCTGGGTGTTGGTTCTTGGATATTCCCACAAGATCTCGCCTTGACATCCAAAACGCCAAACTCATAGCTCAAATGACATATAGACTCAAGTATGGCTACCGTAAATAGAGATAACTCATAATAGATTTAGTGTATGTTTAGATGCACTTTTGTAATGGACTTTTGACTATAAAAGTCCATTTACTATATAAAAAGATATTTGGTGTAGATAACATAATGGACTTTCAAAAAAGTAACTCCCACAAAGAAGTTTATATTGAAAACTTCTTGAGAAGTCACTTTTCAAAAAGTCCATCTTGAGATGGACTTCTCAATAAGTGTTTCCAAACAAGCCTTTATTTATTTTTGAATTTACTATTTCAGCACAATCATCGTTACACTACTTTTTTCTTACTTTTTTCTTGTATAAAGGTGACCCCTCATCACTTCATTTGAGAGTAAGCTAGACAGGCTAAGCTAAGCCAAGCAAAACACGAAAAACACATATATTAGCATACACATGCTCATTCTGTAGCTACCATTGTAACAACAAAGTTTTGCAAGTCATTCATTCGGAGAACCTTTCTCCTCATCGATCTCCTTGCAGGTCGGCGAAATCATATGTATTTTATTTTCTCGTTTTCTATATTATACTATATTGCTTACCTGTATAATACTCATCAAACACATACCTAATCATCGTTACATATCCTTAATCTTGTAATTAAGGACCGTTGGCGATCGCTCGTCAACATATGTTAAACGTTCCAGTAAAATATAACACCTCATGCATCGCACGGGTCGCGACTAATTTCGTCGAATAAGTCCACATCGAAAAGCAGCATCTCACACACTCAAATTTATACTTTAAAATAATAAAAACGAGCCATGTTTGAGCTTCTGATACTCGAACTCGGAATCGAGCTCGAGCCTTTATCGAGTCGAGCTCAGATAAAAGAAACGCGACTTAATTCATTTATCAGCACTAACGGGCCAAACTCAAACCTTAGTGAGTCAATTTATAAAAAATGAAATAAGAATTCATATTTTCAAGCTTTAACGAGGCAAACTCGGCTCGAGTCGGCTTGACTTGAGTTGGCTAAACTCGTTAATTAAATGGGCTTTAGGGGAGCTCAAGCCAAGCTCATCAGCGTCTGTTCAGCAACCTTGGTAGCAAAAGTGACTTTCATATAGGCAAAATTGCATTATATTTTGCCCTAATAAAAAACTTTTAGACCTACCTATTAAGTTTTTCAGCATAATCACCAATTTTTAACGACCTTCTACAAACTATAAAAATTCCGTTGAGGCATTCATGTATTCATAATATCACCCAATCTTTCATTCTAGCGATCATACAAAATCAGAAAAGAAATAAATCCATCATGATTCATGCCCAGTGATCCCAAATATCATGGCATGCCCTTGGGACAATTATTTTATCATTCCTATTTTTTCCCCTGCCAACTTCAGTACTTCAATTAGGCCAGAAAAACTGCAAGAATTGATCTAAAACCCGACACTAAACTCGGGCCGGTAATGAACCAGCCGGAGCATGAAATGTTGTTCATACAGCTGTAAGCTTAAAGCACGAGAAAACACCGCTTTCGTGGTAGTGAACAACATCAAGTCTCAATTATGTTCCAAAAAAGCTTCTTAACCCCCTCCGAACAACTCGAATTCCAAATGCTTGTCATTACCACCACAATCCACGAACCTCTTCCCTTCTCCGACACCTCGGCATCACAAAACTCCGGCACCTGAGGCGGTTCCCCACACCACAATCCTCATTGCATGACCCCTTGAACGGTGTCCTTCCGTACAGAAGCTCGTACAGAAGAATCCCAAACGTCCACCAGTCGACTGCACCCTTGCCCCTCGCCCTTCAGCTTACGGGCCCGGGAAGCTGTCTTCACTGATGCTGGAAGTGCTGCTGCTAAAATCGCCAATGCTGCTTTTAGAGCTTTAAGATAAGTCCATCTTCTCGGCCGATTTCGAGGTCATGTCGCTTTTCGGAGGATCTTCTCTGAGCTCTTTATTTGTATTTCCCATAGAACACTGACAATTATGGCAGATTCGTTGATAACTCCTTCCAAACAAATCCAAACACAAAAGTCATGCACCCACATAACTACTTCCAAGTTCAAGATCCAAAACACTCAGCTACACAACAATGTAGCTTGAATACACAAAACAAGCGAACGGATAGGGAAAAACTGTTGAGGGGTCTCCATCGATCAAGTCCATTAGACTGTTTCACTGCATTTCCATCGGGCAGTAACTTCGAGGGTGGGGACACCATTATAGGAAATGATCTTGGTTTCCTCCCCCATTTTCATAGCTCGGAAAAAGGTCTTGCCACTGCAACTAAGGTTCTCACCATCTCCTTGATGACGGTCATACAAAATGGCCCCAATAATGAGTGAGGAATTGGAAGGAACAGCTACCACCGACCTTGTAAGCTTAATACTTCCACCATTCCCCACCAAACCATCCTCACTTCTCTCAATCATCACCGTCTTATCCTCATCCCTTCGTTTAAGTGATAGCAAACGAATCCTCGAGTACAATATGCAAGGCCTGGCAGCAATCAAACCAGAAACACCCTTAACACTTTTATTCAACATCTTGACATCAATAGTAGCCCATGCTCCACGATACTTGGAACTGTACGCCATCATTAGGATAGGACTGGTGCTGGGGTTTCCAACCACAGACCTCGCGATATAGGGACCATACTCGTCCAAGAAACTTTCATCAAGTGCAGAAACATTGAAAGTGCAGTACTTAGATACACCATCACCTGGAAATAGGTCGCGATTCACATGATCATCATCTTTAAAAGCAACTAGTACATCCTCATCATTGATCTTGAAAGAAAAATACATAGATACTCCAGTTTCTTCACACATTGGGGGTCTGGGTTCAGAACCAGACAGGGGAAGAAGGGCATATGGGTCAAGATCAATAGTATCAGCTTTCAAGTGGCTCGCCCTGTAATAATGTATCGGTACCGGATTGTAATCCCAATACTCCGATGCCGGTTTCGTGATTTCATCGTAGATTCGGCTGTTGAGCAAGGGGTGCTGCGGATTTTGTCGTTCAATTTGACTATGACTTTGTACAGTTCGAAAATGACTAATCCCCTGAACTTTGCTTTGTGACTGTCTTTGTGGCATCGACTTGCATTGAGGCAATTCCTTTCACCATCTTCTTCTTGGGCCATGGGAGAGTTTGCGGTGTCCCAGAAAGCTCTTTCAACAACCTTGTGCTTCGTAGTGAAACCGTCATCTGTGTCCGAGTCGGAATCACCTTCATACAAAAGCCCATCATCGTTATCGTTGTCGCCACCTTCACACGAAAGCTGGTCGTCATTCTCGCTGTCGCCATCTCCTTCGTCATCTGATCTCCTCCGTCGCTGCTTGTCTGATTCAGGTTGAATTGCTTCCTTTCCTGCTGATTTCCGCTCACGTTCTGCTTCCATTGGTAGCAATTTGATTTGTGCTTGTGTTAGCTGTTAGGGTTTGCGTTCGGGGAAAAGCAACTGCGGAACTTTTCCCTATTTCAACAGCACAATAACGTCTCTAAATGACGCACAACTCCGAATCACTGGTTCAACTCAAGTGATGATTGCTAAATCGAGAAATTAAAATTTAATTATTTCTAATTTTTTCTTAATAAATATAGGTAAATTAATAAAAGTAATTTATTTATATGTACATTTTTAAACTCAAAATATAATAATATTATACTTTATCATAAATAATTACCACATCAAATTTAATAATGTTATATGTACATTTTTATATGTACATAAGATTTAATAATATTATATGTATATTTATATGTACATTTTTAAACTTAAAAATAAACAATATTATGTTTTATCATAAATATTATCCAATCTATATATATATATATATAATTGTTGGCTAATAGCATTTAATAAAACATTTAATAAAAATCATTTCTATTTCCCTCCAAAAACCGTTACAAACTTTATCATTTATATCTCTCTTTATATTTAATTACCAACAATAAATTTAACAATATTAATTATTGTTTACCATCTTTTTATGTTACAATCTTCTATTATTATTATTAATCCATCATATCTAATTAATGTTAAAATATTTCATTGCATTTTTTTATGGTTAATTAAAACAAAACCCTTACATTTTGTATTAATGGAGTAATAATTATATTATTTTATTATATCATATAATAATTGTTATTATAACTAATAACTACAGTTTACACTATATGATATATGAAAATTACATAAACATAAAAAAATATTGTAAACTTTTTGCTAAAGTTATTTATTCTAAAATTTATATTATATTTTTTTTATCTTATTTAGCGATTGTATTTTTAAATAAGTTAATTTATTTTAATGTTATATTAAAATTCCTTAAAATCGCATAATCAAATGTTATAATAAATTTAATATTTTTAAACTAATAAATTGGCGATCTCTAATCTGCTCAAATCCGTCTCTGAAGAAAACCCTTCCCCCAAGTGCCCATCGAGTTCCCTCTGATTCTCAGCCGTCGGCCTTCCCAAGTGTCCGTCGAGCTTCGCCGGCGGTCGCCGGCCCTTGGCCGCCTGGATCCTTCCATTTTTTTCATCGCATATACAATATAATGCTTCAGGCTGGGTACACTTGATTCCGTTATAAACAAACCTTTTTTTGCGCAGTACGCATTATTGAAACCCATCGGAGAGCTGTAATGCACAAAAGAAACAAACCTTTTTTTGCGCAGTCCGCATTATTGAAACCCATCGGAGAGCTGTAATGCATTCCATATACTGTTTGGAGTACACTTGATTCCGTTAACAAAAGAAACAAACCTTTTCCGAACGGGAGAGCGCATTTCATATACTGTTTCATGATGAACAGGTAATATTTACCTTTGTTATTTCAATTTTATATAATTTAGAAAATTATTTTAATTAATATTTATAAATTTGTATCGTAGGGTGCTTTCATTAAATACATAATACCTTATCCGAATATGAGCAACAAACTTTATATAAACTGAGAGCAGTCTAATTTTTGTAAAATATGTAAACTTTAAACGTGTTTTTATATATAAAATTGTATATACTTTTAAACATGTTAGTTGGGTAAATTTTAAGTATATATATATATGTGTGTGTGTACGCTAACTTTAAGTATATATATTTTTCTTATAAAATAGTCTAGACAAAATTAAGGTAATTTCACATTTTTCAATAATAATATAAAATATTTTAATACTTTCACATATGTTAAATAGTCTACGTATTCTTAATGTCTTTTGGTTGTAATATTGTTAACATATATAATATTAGATACTTTTAAACATATTTAGATAATTTTTTTACTCATTCTTTAATATCTATGTGCATAAAAAGAGAATAAGATTTATAAAAGATTTTCCGGCAATATACTAAATGTTAGATAAAAAATCTTATTTTATTTGTTACATAATATTTCGAGTTGCATTAATTTTGATTTGTATGTGTAAAATTGATAAATTAAGCGTATGAAAAGGAGCGTACAAATTATTGTAAGGGTTTAAAAAATAAAAAATAAATCCAATTTTTGAATATTTTCTACTAACTTCTAAACGAAGTTATGTCATAATTCGTCATAATTTTCCCATATCATGTCAATATTATTTTATATATACTAGGTAAAAGGTAAATCATTATCTCAATATTTATTCTATATATTTTAATTAAATTTTATCATCTATCTCAACGGTCCGCAGGTACTATTTCATACTTTTCTATTCATAATCAAATATATCAAAACTTCACAAATTTTACTTCACAAAGAAAGTGTTCAATAATTTATATTTTTTTCCCTTCTTTGCAATCCATTTATTTTTGTTACATATATATAAATTATATTATTTTTAATATTTCACACGTTAAACATTTCAGGAAAATATACCATCCCGTGTATCGCACGGGCTAAGCGTTAGAACACTTAGGTTTTTTCGGACGATGCCAAACCAATATTCTCACAGCAGTATTATCTATATATATATAATAAGAATTAACATTTACCATAAATAGTAGTAAGGAAAAGTCAACCATATTTATTATATACTATTTTCAGCAACTTTTACATTTTACATTTTAATTTAATTCATTATCAAAAAATTGGATGGTTCCTAAATTAATGAGTTTTAAATGTACGTATCATGTTTCAAAACTTATAATTATTTAAAATCGGAGGGTTCCTAAATTAATGGTTACAAACTTTTCAAAGTTGTAATCTTTATGACATATTTTCTTTTTGTCTTTTAATAATAAAATTACTTTAAATATATATATTCTAATCCAAAAATTCAATCATGTTAAATATATATTGAACGCTAAAATATTACTATGTTAAATATTGAACGCTAAAAATATTTATTTGGAATATATATATATATATATATTCCTAAATTACTAAATATATATTATATTTAATGTTAAATATATATTCCTAAATTAAGGTTACATATATATATATATATATTGAACGCTAAAAATATTTTTTAAATTGCATACTCAATCAATTAATCTAAATTTTTTTAAAAAAATTACTATGTTTATTTTTTATTAATATGCATAAAATAAAAATAAATAGTTCATCTTTAGATATATAATTTATAATCTTAATATACTATCATTTGGTGTAGACATATGAATCATAGAATATTTTTATTTCATAAAATTAAATATTAAAGAAAATAAGGAAATTACTTTGGATCAATCGGGTGATTGAATTAGGGTACTGCCCACTTTGATTGAATTACTTTCAGGTGATATTTAAAATAGTCAAAAAAACTTGACACAACTTGGTTGGTCCGAGGTAACTAAGTTATGTATCAGTTTGACCAGACCAAATTGATTATTGAACCTAAATATAAATTTTAATATTGAAAATACTTTATTACGTAAATGTGATGTAGTCCAAACCTCAAATAATCATATCAACAGTACTTTTATGACAACATGATTAATGATTTATGAATATTTATATATAATTTTATTATTATTTATATGACCAAAATATTTATTTCATTATCATTTTTATTAATGTACGGTAAATATAAGGTTTTCACAATCGGACCGTCTTGTGATTGTTCAGATTTTAATACATAATACTTTAATATATATATATAGTACTTTTTGTAATAAATTTAAATAGAAAGTGTTACTTAAATATCAAAACAATTTATAAATTCAAATGTTTAAACTAATTGATAAACAATTTATAAATCTCTATTTTATTTAAATATGTAATTTTATTTAAAATAATTTTTCATGTAACAAAATTTATTTAGAAAATTGTATCGATCTTACCAGTCCAACATACTGGTGTTGGCGGATTCGATAGTAAATATTTTATTCAAGCGCACTAAATCGGTTATAAACCGATTCTCGGTCCATCCGGTCGGACTGTGTCCAACCCGGTTTAATTTATAAATAATGGATAAATCATGATTAATGTTATTTATTTATTTAATTTATAATACAATCAAAATATTATTTTTCCGTGCATGGCACGGGCCACGTACTAGTTTAAACGAACGAAAATCTACACCTCCCCCACCGATCACCAATTCCGCAACCACAAACCCTAAAAAAAATTTAATCAAACACAGACCGCTTGCTAGCAATGCTGCGAGCAGAAACTATAATAATTCGATGTGATTTAGAGAAGAAGATGCCGAGGGAATGGGATGCCGAAGGAGGTGACGACGACGATAATGATAAACGGCGTTCGTGTGGAGGTGGCGACCGCGATAATGACGACCAGCTTTTGTGTGAAGGTGGCGACGACGATAACGATGATGGGCTTTTGTACGAAGGTGATTCCGACTCCGACACAGACGAAGATTTTACTACCAAGCATAGGATTGCCGAAGGAGTTATCTTGGACAACGCTCCCATAGCCCAAGAAGAAGATGGTGAAAGGAATTGCCTCAGTGTAAGCAGATGCCACAAAGACGCTCACACGGCGAAGTTCACGGGATTAGTCATTTTCGAACTGTACAAGGTCATAGTCAAATTGAACAACAAAATCCGCAGCACTCCCTTGGTGAACAGCCGAATCTACGGTGAAATCGTGCGACCGGCATCGGAGTATTGGGATTACAATCCAGTGCCCATACATTATTACAGCGCGAGCTACTTGAAACCCGATACCATTGATCTTGACAATCGTGCCCTTCTTCCCCTGTCTGGTGCTGAACCCAGACCCCCTATGTGTGAAGAAACTGGAGTATATATGTATTTTGCTTTCAAGATCAATGATGAGGATATACTTTCTGGCGAAGATAATCATCATGAGAACCGCGACCTATTTCCAGGTGATGGGGTATCTAAGTACTTTGATTTATATCTTCCTGCAACTGATGAAAGACACATTGATGAGTTTGGTCCCCGTATCGGGAGGTCTGTGGTTGGAGATCCCAACACCAGTCCTGTCTTAATGATGGCCTACCATTGCATGTATCGTGGAGCATGGGCTACTATTGATGTCAAGATGTTGAATGAAAGGGTTAAGGGTGTTTCTGGTTTGATTGCTGCCCGGCCTTGTATATTTTACTCGAGGATTCGTCTGCTATCACTTAAACGAAGGGATGAGGATAAGACAGTGATGATTCAGAGAAGTGAGGATGGTTGGGTGGGGAATGGTGGAAGTATTAAGCTTACAAGGTCGGTGGTAGCTGTTCCTTGCAATTCCTCACTCATTATTGGGGCCGTGCTGTATGACCGTCAACAAGGAGATGGTGAGAACCTTATTTGCAGTGGCAAGACCTTTTTCCCAGCTATGGAAATGGGGGAGGAAACCAAGATAATTTCCTATAATGGCGTCCCCACACTCGAAGTTACTGCCCGATGGAAATGCAGTGAAACAGTGTAATGGACTTGATCGACCGAGGCCCCGATTTTTCCTTTTTGTTATTGTTTGGATTTGTTTACCTTATTGTTAATGTTTTTATTGCTGCTTCTAAGTTGGGTGATTGTTTCTTTTTAATGTTGTTTTTTCTGCTTCTAAGTTAGGCTCAATTTAATACTGATAACGGAAAGAATGTGCATATTATTACCTTGTGAGTGGGGGATGGCAGCAGATTTTCTAAAGTTAATACATCTAAAAAATTAGCCACCTTGTTATAATGTATTTTCTTGTGGAATATCGTACTTTTATGCTGTTTCTCATGGCAGTCTAGTCATGAAGTGCCTGCATGAACAGCGACGCATAATCTCAGCTTTGTGACTGTCTCCTTAATGAGAGAAACCAGTTTTTTGTAAAAACTAATCCAATGTGGAAATTAGAATGTACCCTAGATATTTACATGTGTCGTGAACTTGTGATTGTCTGTGGCAGCCTGTTGTTTAATCATTCTAGCTTCGTCTCCTTTCATCATAATTTCAAAGAAATTACATGGAGTTTTTCTTGAACCCGAAATTTATTTTATTGTTTATTTGTGTTGTATTGTTTGATGGGCTACTATTTTTGAAGCATAATTAGGCTAGGGAATGGTCCATCCTAAGAGAATAGGTTAGATTGTTTTTTTGTTAATTTTGTTTCATCAAACTTATCAGAATGATAATAATAGGTTTTGCAAGCTTATATACTATTTTCAGGACTCATGTAGGTAATCGTTACAGTCAAGTGTATACAATATTATACTTGCAGCCTTTTGTGAAAAAATCTTCTGGTTGATTCCTGGCCCTTGTTTTCCATCTACATGTAAAATGATTTGATGTTTGTACCTCTGAGCAGTCATAGTCATATAGTAATATTTTAATATTTTATTTGCACATTTTTTAAGAAATCTGATTGTTTGGTGGCTTATTTTCTATATTTTAATGTTTCTTCAAAGGGCTGGTTTTCATCTACAATTTTCATTTGCTATTTTTTGCTTGTGGAGATGTAAGTTCTGACTCTCTTTCTTCTTCATCAAATTTCTTTGGTTTAAGTTAAGATGCTTCTTACCTTTTCTTTGTAACTAACTAAAAAGTCTATTGCAGCTTTCTTATTTTCTTGTTTTATGAATGCTGCTCCTTTTTTAAAAGGGAGTAATGTGTGTTGGAGGGTCTTTTTATTATGCTTTATGTTCTTAGTTAACAGCAATAATAAATAGATAGTCAACCAGTTGATCATTCTATTCAATTTATTTGTTTTAAAATATTGTTTTAAGGTAGCCTCATTATTTAGTGTTTTTTTTCATTCCTCTTTTTTTTAGTTCCTGTCAGATGTCTAGTTGGTCTTGATATTTTTATATGGTGTATATATTAGTTATCATGTGTTGGGTTATGGCCTAAAGAAAAACAAAATTTTGTTTATCAGATAACTATATGTCCCGTCATTCCTAGGGTTTGTGTACAATTTTTATTTAATTTTTGTTTCTGGTTCTGTTTAAATTTTTTGTGGCAATCTTTCTATTTTGGTTTAAAAATGAATTCAATGCAATGCCTTTTTTTTGTTTTCTTCTTTTCCCTGATAGAATCAGAGAGCACTCCTTTTACATCATCATAGTTTTCCTATACTGATGAGTTGAAGAAAAAAGGCGAGAAGTTGAAAGTGACAGAATCTCAACTCAAAAGCAAGCTATGTTTTAGGTTATCTAAAATCTTTGTATTCTCTCTCTCTTTCCAACGCCTACATTATCGTCATTCTTGATATGGAGAATTTATTAAGAAATTTTTGAATATTTAATATATGGATTCTATATAAAATTTTGATTTTCCATTCCTTGGGAAAACTCAGAATCTCGAAATTAAGAAAATAAATGAGGAGAAAAAAGCGGCCTTGGCTGCACAATTTGCTGATGAGGCTACACTTAGAAGTAGGGGTGTTCATGGTCCGGAGTGGTCCTATTTTAGCTCAAACTATGACCAAATCGGACCTAACGGTTAATTTTTTTTCTTGTTCATAATCGGACTAGTTTTATTTTTTAACCGGCCACAATCTGGACCGCATTGGACGGTCCGATTTGGCGGTTAACCGGTTAAATCCAAAATTCTTGTTTTGGGTCTTCATTTTTATTTTTTTCATTTTGGGCTTAATTTTTATTTTTCAATTTTGGGCCCAAAAGAGATTATTTGGGCCTAAAAATTAGAAAAACAACAATAATGAAATAAAAAATACACAATTCATCCCATAAACATAAAAATACAAAAATGATGAAGATTAAATTATGTAAAGAGAATGTGGGAAAATCTAAAAATGAAAAACGAAGGTGGAAAAAAGTGAAAAGTTAGGGCAAGGGGCTGTTGTGAGGCACTTACAGCAGCTCCAGCTGTTACATTATAGCCCTTGGATTAAGTGTAACTAAAAATACGTCCAAGGGTTAGAAATCATGTTAGATAAAAAAAAAAAAAAAAAAAACNCACGACTATCTCCCGTAGCCTACTACATGTCTGTCGCCGTTAAAGAGTCAGACGGAGATGGCGGTGCCTAACGGTCGGCGGGACGAAGATGACGACGGCGCAGCTCTATTCGAGTAAGACGACGTGGAGCTAACGGATGATGAAGGCGGAGACTCCGAAATCCCCGTCCACCTTCGCCCCCTCGTCTCCGCCGCGGAGTCCGGCGATGTAGATGCCCTCCGTCTAGCCCTTGGTAACCAATACTGTATTTTGAATGTGGACAAAATATTGTTACATGTTCTATTGATTATTTATCTAAAATGGTTAAATCTTAATTGTTATCGATTGGGGTTTTTGGCAAGATTAGAGTCATGAGACTGGTAATTGGTTGTATTTAATACTTTTGGACATCTGGAATAAGATGAGTGCAAACGTGGAAATTGAGAATTAATGTAATTTGAGAAGGGTCAAATGTGAAGAGAAATATCTTAAAACAGAAACAGGAGTATCAGGCACCCCAAGATGGTGGTTGTTGCTCGTAAAATGTTTCGATAATAGCTCGACTGTCGAGCGATACCCAATATCTTTNTTTCCATTATATGGTAAAGATGTGTATAAATGTACGTAGTTCTCTTTCCTCCTTTTTGTCCCCTTTGCTTCTGATGTGCTTTGATGAGTGGCACTTGTGCTGCTCTTGTTTTAAGATCTGCTAGCTCTTGTAAGGTTGGCTGCTTTCTTTGTCCATTTTTATATGGGATCGTGTTATCTTTTTCTATGGTTTGTGCGTGTTTGTTTATTTGTGTCAAAAGTTCGAATTTCATTTGGTAGTGTAGAAATTTGAGGATTTGTTGATTCTAGCATGAGAAATGAGATTATTTTAAGATTAGTAGTTCTAAAGTAGCTTCGTGTACTAAATCTATTATTAGTTTAGCAGCTAAAGAAGCCAAGTAACCAATTTCCCAAATATCAAAAGGCTCGAAGATGATGAAGTGTATGTTTGGATGTACTTTGAATATAAAAGTCCATTTACTATATAAAAAGATGTTTGGTGTAGATAACAAAATGGACTTTTAAAAAAGTAACTCCCACAAAAAGTCCATTTCAAAGAAGTTTATATTGAAAACTTCTTGAGAAGTCACTTTTAAAAAAGTTCATCTTAAGATGGACTTCTCAATAAGTGTTTCCAAACAAGCCCGAAAACAATGGATGCTCAAAGAAGCTTCTACATCCAATAACCATGAATCACGCGTTTTGGGACGAGTAACATCAAAATACAATTAAGTAAAATGTCCAAATCCACATACTTCAATCTATCAAGTTTTAACCACCTACAGAACAATTGAGTAAAACCTGTACTTGATGGCATCCCCAAACTCAAAAGCATTAGTCAAATTTTTAGAGGCTTGATTAATTAATGGCTAAGTGCAGCACTAGTAGCCTCTTCCAATATCATCTTGGCTTCAGTTCCAGCGTCAGCAAGCTCGGGAGGAGTCTGCACCCAAAAAGATTCCCATTTACTCGACCCAATATTCAGTTTACTTTTTGGTTATTGTTCTTAGTTGAAAACGAGAGAAATCCCAAACATCTACTTACCTTTCCGTAAAAGTTTGTCTTAGTTGGACAAGCCTCATAAGCAAGCAACAATCTCACGGTATCGGCATATTCGCCTCTAGCAGCATGGTGAAGAGGCTAAAAAGACATTACAAATTTTAGATTATGTATAACTAAATTTTGTTTGACGAAGATCTTCTTCACACTTCACACGCAGAAAAAATTGCAAAAACAAAATTGGAATAATCTATGATCACATGAGTGATTAACTATATAAGACCACTGTGTCCCCTTCCATATCGACAGTTTCGAGCATTCTCCTCACACGCTCTGGGTTATTTGCGGAGTTTATGAGAAGTTGGGCTATTTCTGTAAAACTTGCACAACAAAAGTTTAATGAACCACAAAGCAAAGAATGGTTTCGCAAAAGAATAAAACCGAGGTAAACGGACCTCCCGCACAGCGGCACAGGCGTCGTGCAAAGGAATTCCTCCATCCTCATCCTTAGCCTCTATGTTTGCTGCCCTTTCTAACAGGAACTGAACAAGAATTAACCCACAGAGATGAATTTAACATTAACTTGTATTATACAGAGAAAATTTACCACTTCGAACGTAAAAACCAGATACATACTTCGAAAAAAGATGTTATCGCCAACAAGATAATAATATAAATAGAACTTCAAGTCACTACAAAATGGTAGGCTAAACTGCAATTGCTTTCCTAACTGCTGAATCTCCTAATCATCGTCTTGCGTAAGTCATACACTAAAATCACAAATCATACATCCACATTCCACCGTGAAATGGAACACGCAACTTAACATATATGAACTCGACCAAATTTAGAATCAAATGAAAACGATAAGCAGTGAGATCAAGCCAAAAACTTCTCTACACAAAGCTAACCGACCTATGAAGTCATAGAAAGGATAAAAACAACAAAAACAGAGCTCAAGTACACGCATACAATGAAAGCAAATGAACATCCGATTTAAAATTTAGAGAGTGACAGAAAGCATAAATTTTAATCATGCAACTTCTCACACGTTTTACAACTCAAATTACATTAATTCTCAATTTTCACGTTTGCACTCATCTTATTCCAGACGTCCAAAAGTATTAAATACAACCAATTACCAGTCTCATGACTCTAATCCTGTCAAAAACCTCAATCGATAACAATTAAGATTTAACCTTTTTAGTAAAAAAAATCAATAGAGCATGTAACAATATTTTGTCCACAGTATTGGTTACCAAGGGCTAGGCGGAGGGCATCTACGTCGCCGGACTCCGCGGCGGAGACGAGGGGGCGAAGGTGGACGGGGATTTCGGAGTCTCCGCCTTCGTCATCCGTTAGCTCCACGCCTGTCTTCCTCGAATAGAGCTGCGCCGTCGTCATCTTCGTCGCGCCGACCGTCAGGCACCGCCATCTCCGTCTGACTCTTTAACGACGGCGGACAGGTAGTAGGCTACGGGAGATAGTGTTTTTTTTTGTTTGTTTTTTTTTTGTTTTTTTTTATCTAACATGATTTCTAACCCTTCGATGTATTTTTACTTACACTTAATCCAAGGCTATAATGTAACAACTGGACTGCTCTAAGTGACTCACAACAGCCCCTTACCCGAAAAGTTATAGTGTCTTACAAAATTAAGTCAACAAAAGACCAAAAAGTAAAAGTGAATGTATTGTATTTGTCGGTCATAGTGAATGACTGAATGTATATATATATATTTGTTATAGTTTTTTAATATTTACCGGTCCGGCCCAATTAAACCGGCAGTTTGCCTCAGGTAATCCGTTAACTGGACCGGTTATTCTGGATTTTTTAAAAAATTACCACCGAATTTTTTAAGGCTTTTTTAACTGACCATTTAACCGATCCGCGGTCCGGATTGACGGTTTTTTTTTAATTAAAACCGGACCGTGAACACTCGAATTTAAAAAGGTGTATGCCAGAAAGATAACGAAATTCCTCCAATAGAGGCAATCATAATGCCTCTGGAAGCTGAGCTAAAAATAACAAGGACGGAGGTAAGGTAATTTTATTCACTTTCAAAATTTCCTCAATCATTATCCAGAATGGATGTAAATGTTATCTGATTGGATATGCATATCGCTTTATATAAGGTGCCAAAGCTGCAGGAGGATAATAAAGCATTCGACTGGCTCACTAAATTGAAGAAGACCGCTCTCTTGGATGCTGAACGTATGGTTCAGATGGCTCTAACAAAAGCCTCCTTGGTTGATGGTAGGCTCGTGTACTTAATTTGTATATTTTGTATTTTTTTGGATTTTCTATTAATTTAGAGAAATGAAGTAGAAAGTTGTGGAAGAAGAAGATAAGAGGAAGAGAGAGAAACAAGAGAGAGAAAGAGATTTTTAGTTATGCTAAATCTGACAATTGCAGTTCATTCACCACGATTTTACCCTACAAGCGGGTCCCACAAACTAACAAACATATCCTAAGAAAATGGGCTTAAACACATCAGCCCAAACATTACTAAACAACATATTTAATTAATAAACTAGCCCAATACAAATAAATAGCGAGAAGCCCACGAATAATCCTCATGAAGCCCAACTTCATTCACTTTTGATTCTTCTTCTTCGAACTTCACATCAAACCCTAATCCTTTCACTTCAGATCCAATCGCCCCTTTTTCCTTCAAACTCTCATCGTCTTCCCCAAAGTTTCCTCCTTTTTTGATCGAGACCTGCTCTTCCTTGCCCAAGTTAGCTACTTTATCTTCAAAGGCCACAACTTTTTCATCTCCGGCATCCAAAATCATTCCTTTTTCATCGTCAGCGGCCGGGTATATGACAGTTGATGGTTTGCAGAAGAAAAACCAAGAGCGTGACAAACAGATTGAGATTTGCAGGTTTGGTATTTTAGAACTGTCTATGCCTAAATGAATCAGGTTCCAGTATAGTTTTTTTTATAGAACTTGCGGTATCATATCAGGAGAAAAATAAAATTTGGGCAAAATGCATAGGCAAAAGGTTTCAGAAAAGGAGAAGCTAACGCAAACAGTTTTGGAACTCGAAGAGCTTGTTTTGGCTTGAGGTGTGGCAGCTGTTCATGAATACCATAGAGAAGTGCAAGAAATAAATGTAAAGTGCTTTAAATCTCAGTCTTCAATTATTATATCAATGGAAGCTCTATGTGATACTGTCGAGTCTGCAATGAAATGTATTTCGTGAGGTGCTTCTAATTGTCAATGCTTGAGCAGGAAGAGAAAATAATTTTAAATCGAGAAACTCCTACAACGGTAAAAAAAAATAATGCTATAGTTTTATAGAGAAATAGATAGCTATATAAATGAGTTTGCTATTTAGAACACTCTTTTCTACATGAGAATAGAAATACCTTGTTTTGTCGATTTTTAATTCCAACAGCATTCATGACTATTGACTTACTAACATACTTTTTTTTTGTACGTGGGTTTCATTTAACAGGATATTTTTGTGCGTTTCTCGCCTTTCTGTTTGGGCCTCTTTCACACACAATTCTGCCACTTGAAAAGTTTAAAGGCAAGTAAATAATCACCGGCATGTAAGTTAAGTGTTTCTTGAACTTTTTTTGCATGCACATACTTTACCATTTTGAAAAAAGACACGAACTGCAGCCCCCTAATGCGACTCATGTGTACTGCAAACTGTTGCTTTTTGACTAACTTTTACTGCTGTACATAACTTAATCATTTTGCCATGTTGTTTTACCTTTTCTTGAGAGCCAAAATTACTGACATCTATCGGTGATTAGATGCTTAATAGTTATGGTTATCACATGGTTATGTATACAAGTTATTTTGCCGCCTTTTGCTTGTACTTGTTACTAGTGGAACAAAATGAACTGCTATAAATAAATTCTGGTTTTTTGGCATGCTTATTTGTACTCTGTTTAACTTGTCCAAACATATACGAAGATTAAAAATATCAATAACACATCAATACAGTGGGATGTGACTGCCAGTAATATACTAAATTCCACCAATTCCTTTGTTTTTTAATCGTCATTTAATGCATTAATATGTACATATTTCAACATTTATTAAACAACTATGCATATTAACCAACAAATCATTGTTGGTTCCTTATTCCTCAAACCAAAAATCGTCTTTCAAATACTTTACCATTTAATCAAGATACATTTCACTTTACTACTTTAGATTGAAATAATATGTCTAAGTTGGGGACTTACGAAGGATTCTCATGAAAATAACAGAACTCGAGAAAAGTTAATTGAAAGATTAGTAAGAATAACAAAATAATAAAATAAAAAGAAAGAAATACTATTGAAGGGGAAGACTATCACCGTCTTCTCCATGGTGCAATCTGCAATTACACCTTTACTAGTACAACACCCATGTATTACATGGATGAGGACGGTGCCTCATCCCAGACCGTTCATAGACCGATTCATAAAAGTTGGATCGATATCCGGACAAGTCAAATTCAGGACCGTCCCAAATCGCGCCCCCCCTACCATAAATAATCAACATATTTATAGATAATCTGAACCTAAATATTTTCGGATTAGAAGTAAATTAAATCTACCCAAACCTAATAACGAAGTATATAATTGTGTCAGGATCCCGAAGCAGTGTAGTTGGTTCGGGACGATCTGCTGAGTCCAGAAAAATTAAAAACGATACGCTTTGAACCCTCGCTTCTAGTTCCGCTGCGCATATGGTTTAATTTGTAGATAATCCGTGACTTGTGATCCTCACAGATTCCAACAATAAGTTCTAAGTTCAATTCGGTGTCATGTAAAGTAGACATATGTTGTTTATCTAATGTATAACTGTATTCGATTTGGATTTTATACTCATTCAGAATTGTGCATTATATTTTATACCGTTTCAGTGTTGTTTATATGTCGTTTATATCATGTAGCTATACGGTTAATATTAAAGAAATGTCAGATCATGTTTATTTGATGTATATGTACAGTATATCTGAACATATATTTCGTGGTTATGAGGCAGTATATATTATTTGATTTTTTTTTACCAAAAAAGATTTCGCGAAGAATAATTTTTGCTTTCTAATCCCTAAATTCTAGGATTCAGATTTTTTTTTTCTTTTTGCTTACGGTTTTTTAGCCGTAATTGAATGCATGTTTAATATGCAGAGAGAGAAAATTAATAGCTGATTAGCCACGTTTATTATGAAAATAGAGAAACTTAATCTCCTTGTGGGTGAATTGTGGTTTCATATATATGTAAATATTTACTATAGTGGTTTCATATATGTAAATTTTCCATTTAAATGGCCGGCCCAACCATGTAGATTAGATCACGGGTTGGCGCCCTTGGTTAGGCCCAATAAGCCCAATCAAATAGAAATTGGCCCTTATTCTACTTATAAGATAATTTAAACCTAGTAAAGCCCAATTCATTCTTTTCATTCCCAAACTCCTTAAAGGCTCAAAGCCCTAATCGCCCAAACTCCACAAAAAATCGCCTCGGTCCTCCGCCCGTTCGCCGCCATCCTCCCTCGCCGTGCGCCTCTGTCGTGCACTCAGTCTCCGCCGCCGTCGTTCACTCAGTCTCCGCCGCCGTCGGACACTAAGTCGCCGGCCCCCACGCTAGTCTCAATCGACGCCGCCCCCAACTCTCAGTATCGCCCCCATTAGTCAAGGTACTCTGACCTGGGACTTTCAGTCTTTCACATTTCTTCTTGTTTGTGACATGTGTTATATGAACATTCTATTCTTTTGATGATTTTTCTGTTCTATCATGGTTACTGACTCTGGAATATTTGATTTGGTTTAGGAATTTATTGTTCTGGAATTTATCCGTTCTGTATGGTTACAGCACAATAATTATAATTTATCCTGGTTTCTATGTGTGTAAAATTTCCTTCTCCGATCTGTCCGCGCTTCTCGGACTCCAATCTCGTTTGAAATTGAAATATGACGTCCCATTTTTACTTTAGTACATTACATTCATTCATTCCTTCCGAATTTTTACTAGCCATGTTTTGTTGCTTTTCTTGGTCGCGTGTTCATTTGACTATACTCGTACATGACACGATCACCACGGGATTGGTGTTTTGTATCTGTTGATGATGGCACCGCGAAGAAGAGGTCAACAACCAAATCCCCTGGACGTTATCAAAGTGGGGCCTCATGCTGATATAACTCTCGATTTGGATACCGGAGGAGTTGACGAGTACAAAATCTTCATCGGCAAGTTCAAAACCGTTTTTGGAGGACACGGGGTTTTTGATAGGGAATTTTCGAGTTTGAATGGTCGGAAGCCATTGCAAAGACCTCCTCCTGAAGGTGGCCCGTTAGAGTTTTTTGAAATTTATCTGACTTGCATGGGCCGCACACTCGGATGTAGGATTCTAAAATCAGATCTGTATCTTTTTGCTTTCCGGCCGACGAACAGTAAGTGGACCTCATTTTTGGGATGGTTTGATGCATCGAAATATAAGATTGGCAATCTCGATCAGGTCAACATGGATCTTATCGAACACGCAAAAATTAGTTCCCCGACTCTTGAGAAGGACGCAGTGAAGAGAGGAAAACTTCTTTTGTCTAAGAGTAGTCTCAGAAATGCTGTTACGAGGTTGTGCAACCACACCCGAGATTAAGAAACTTAAAGTCTAGTTTTCTTACCATTTGCATGATGGTGCCGGCCATCCGTCTACCTTCGGTTTTTGAAGCAATTTGCTCTGGTTTTGATGCGGATGGAATTCAGCTAACAGATGAGCTCTTGGATGAGCAGAATAACTATGGAAAATTGTGCAAACACATTATCATTCATTCTATTTTGGAAATATTATCTGTAGAGGATCCCCGGTTGCCATGAGTACGAGTGATTTTTCTTTGGTATCGGTTGTTAAGCAACCAAGTAATGTGGATTTCGAAAACGTGGGGACGGTTAGTAGAGCGTTCTGCACAATGGACATCGTTGATCAGCTTATCATGAAGGTACACCGTTTTTCATATAATGTTGTTTTATATTCGGTAGATTTTATGTCTTTTATCCTTTGATTTTAACTTTTGGCGACGGATGAGGACGAAGCCTCTTCAAGTCAGCTCCATGTGACACCACTGATATCACCACCAGGTTATGTTATTTCCTTTTTATTTTATGCTTAATTTGTTTGTGTCTTTTTTGCACGAATTTAGTTCACCCATATTTCATTTTTTTGTATATGGGTGAACTGAATTCGTGCAAAGAAGACACAAGCAAATTAAGCATAAAATAAAAATGAAATAATATTACCTGGTGGTGATGTCACTCTAGTTGTGTCACGTCCGCACGGGGCTGACTTGAAGAGGCTCCGTCCTCATCCTTCGACATGAGCCCGACTTGAAGGGCTACCAAAAGTTAAAAGTTAAAATCGAAGGATAAAATACATAAAAACTACTGAATATAAAACAACATTATATAAAAAACGGAGTACTTTCATGATAAGCTTATAAACGATTTTCTTTGTGCAGAACGTTTTGCTAACAAGTTAGGCATTCTCGCCCCTCACCTTTTCGAAATCCACACCACTTGGTTGCTTAACAACCGATACCAAAGCAAAATCACTTGGACTCATGGCAACCGGGGAACCGTCCTTTACATATAATATTTCCAAAATAGAATGACCGATAATGTGTTTGCACAATTTTCCATAGTTATTCTGCTCATCCAAGAGCTCATCGGTTAGCTGAATTCCATCCGCATCAAAACCAAAACAAATTGCTTGAAAAACTGAAGGTAAACGGATGGCCTTCGGCACCATCATGCAAATGGTAAGAAAACTAGACCTTAAGTTTTTATAATCTCGGGTGTGGCTGCACAACCTCGTAACAGCATTTATGAGACTACTCTTATACAAAAGAAGTTTTCCTCTTCACTGTGTCCCTCTCAAGACTCGGCTAACTAAAAACAAATGCAGCCCAATGCCAAGCAAAATAAAAACTGGCGTTTGGCCGAGGAGGAGAAGTATACCAATTCGCAAACACAAACCCTAATTGCGAACGGGAATGGAAGTTTAAAGCCGGAAAAAGCAAGACGCTGAAGATAGAGTATGGCACGATAACGACGACGACCTATATTATGAAGGCGATAGCGACAGCGATCTCGAATCAGATGAAAAGTTCATGAGCATTAACGAAAAGGTCGAGGGAGGTTGCTGGAAAACACCTGAATCGCCGATGGTCGGAGCCGAGAAGGAAGGTTTCGGATCCGAGAAGGAAGATGGTGACAGAGAGTGCCTCAAGATACCTCTCTCTCTGTGTGCCAAGAACGAGCACGGAGCCCCGTTTAAAGGGTTGCCCGTTTTCGAATTGTACAAGGTCAGGGTCAAGTTAATGAGACAATCAATAGCGGTCCCTTGATCAACAGACCATTTTACGGCGCAATCGTGACACTGATCTCCAAGCAGATATCATCAATCTCGAGTGTGGTAAGAACATTATTGCCCTCCTTCCGCTGTCGGGACCCAATCCCCGACCTCCCTTGTGTGAGGACAATTTCCTTAATCTGGATTTTACTATCCAGATTTGCGGTCAGGATATATTTTCTGTTGGGCATGAACACGAGGACAGCAGCCTATTTCCAGGTAAATCGAAATCGCGGACTTTAGTTCTCCCCCCAGTGAAAGGGGGCGACGGAATTTACTCTTTGTGACGAGGATGCGTATTGGGGACCCGATATCTGACCATGTGCTCTTGTATGCGCATTGCTCTGCATACTACGGAGCTTGGGCCGACGTGGAGGTTAGGCTGCTGGATTACAGAGGTGGTGGGAGGGTTTCTGGCTTGATTGTTGCCCGTTCTTGCATATTCTACTCGAGGATTCGTTTGCTCACGGTCGAACGGCCAGATGAGAAGAAGAAGGGCGTGATGATTCGGAGAGGAGGAGGTGACGAGCAGGGTCAAGTGGGATCCGATGGAAAGATTAAACTTATGAGGTCGGTGGTGACGATCCCGTCCTATTCCTCCCTCATCATTGGGGCCTTGCTGTACGAAGGAGATGGCGGTGGGCGTATTTGCCGTGGAAAGACTTGTTTTCCGGCTAAGGAGAAGGGGAAGGAAAGCAAGCTCATTGTCTATAATGGCAGGCCCACACTTGAAGTTAGTGTCAAGTGGAAATGCAGAGTCTAGTGGAGGACTCGGTGATCTCTTTTACTTGCTTTCTCTTTTATGTTGTGTTATTTGTTGGTTTTGCTTGTATTTTGGCAGATTCAGTTCCCTAATTTTGGCATTATGCTAGACGTTTTTGGATATTTTTTTTGCCACCTTTATTGCTTGCCTCTTCTCTATGGTTTACCTAGTCACTGATGCATTAGGATCAGCTAGTTGTGTTATAGTTCTATTTGGCGATAGGCTCATGTTGTCGGTGGCTTTTGGAAATTTCACTAATTCTTGTGGTTTTGTTGCTTGCCGCCTTTTCGGGAAGAGCCCTTCCTTAGGTCCCTTGTGTTATAGTATCGTAAAAGATAGACTGGTGTCTTTTCATGCCTTAGGTCCCTCGTGTTGTAGTATAGGCCAAGGACGTGCTTTGAATACGTTGTTTTGCTGGTCTAATACCACTAGTGTTAGGTATCTCCTGTTCTCTTTTATGTGTGTTTAATTTCCTTGTTTTTCGCTTTTGCATGGATTTATCTCTAATATTTCTTTGTCCTTGTAGTTTTGTGCTAGTTTATCGGTCATTTATGTTGAACTTTATTGTTAATTTCTGTGATTGGTCTTGCCGCCGTTTTGTCCCCCCTTCTCTAGCATTTTCCTAATCAATGGCGCCTTAAGATTCTCAAATTTGTACCAAATTTCCTTTCAACCCCTGATTATCAAATGAACTGAAAAGTTTTTTATTCACTGCTTTCGGGAAAATTCATCCCCACGTTCAGTTTTTACACCAAATCCGTTGTCGATCAAGAGTTGACAGTCAAATTTTGGGTTAATCATTTGCAATTTTTGTGTTGTATTGTAAATCAATAAAGTTGCAGAGATTTGTAATGTTGTGACTCATTGTCTATAATGGCATCCCCACACTTGAAGTTAGTGTTCAATGGAAATGCAGAGTCTAGTGGAGGACTCGGTGATCTCTTTTACCTGGTTTCTCTTTTATGTTGTGTTATTTGTTGGTTTTGCTTGTGTTTTGGCAGATTAAGTTCCCTAATGTTTGCTATGCCAGACGTTTTTGGATATTTCTTTTACCACCTGTATTTGCTTGCCTCTTCTCTTTGGTTTGCCTAGTCACTGATGCTTAGGATCGGCTGTTTGCGTGATAGTTCTATTTGGTGATAGGCTCATGTTGTCGGTGGCTTTTGCAAATTTAACTAATTCGTGTTGTTTTAGACTGGTGTCTTTGCATGCCTTATGCATATTTACTAACATCTATGAATTGGTGTTTGCTGTTGCTTTGG